CTCGACTGCGAGGTCGGCATAGCGAACAACTTCTTCAGGTGTTTGTCCTTCTGAAACTGTTCCTTTGTGAAGACCTTGCAAGTGTCATCCAAAACCGGGACATGACCTTCGATCTTGAGCTGGACAACTTTGTCGTTAGGGCGAACTAAGATTGGCTTGCCGTAGCCTTGATCTACACATCTTGTTCCTACGGAAAGCACAGCTGGGGTTTGATCTAACACGTACGGCTGCACAGGATCCGGAAGTGCGGACAACTTGACGTCTGCGACTTCAGTTGCCTCAGTTGATCCGTTTGCTGTGACCAACGAGATCGGATGCTCGGCTGCTCTGCAGTTCTGGGCGCTTACGTCCTTCAGCATACCTTTGGAGACGAGGACGGATTCCCTGCCTGAGTCAACAAGCCAACTCACACCGGCCTTTGGCGCAGCTGTGGCAATCGGTGGAAACCGTCCAACATCTCTGAGTGCTTTGGGACCGCTAACGAATCTGCATTCCCTGCACGTGATATCACATGTGTCTTCATTCCAACAACAAAACCCACAACTTGGTGCAACATCGGAATCATGAAGCTTCACAGTTTCCTGGAGCTGACGTGCTCTCACCTGTGCATCATGTTGTTCGACCTTGGACGAGACTGGAACGCCATCGGGTGTTCTGCACACGGTAGTGAACTCTCTCGGACGATGTCTGACGGGGACTTGACGACCTACTGCTTTCACTTCGAACACTTGAGGATTCTTTCGGAGCCGAACACGCTTCATGCTGACACTAGATCCATCAGAGCTCGGGGTTACCCTCGGCTGTTTCTTTGCAATACATGCAAACTTTGTATGAGGATCGATCAGACATGGGGCAGCATTGGATTCCTTCCCCTTCTTCTTTGGTGCTGGAGAGTTTGTCCTCTTGGTGTCCTTGGTGGCGGCAGCGGCTTTGTCATCATGCTTGTAGAAGCACTTGTCACCTCGTCTGCATTGTCCCTGAGCGTGGTAAATGCATGGGGTCTTTGCCATCTCTTCTTTTGACATGTTCTTTCCCTTATCATCCTTCTTGCCTTTTGAGGGTGAGCGAGTTCTATTTCTTTTGGGTGACTGGGTGCGTGCTTTGTCATCCTTTACATGTTTGAATGGACACTTCTGCCCCTTATCGCATTGGCCCTTTTGGAACTTATAGCAAACTTTGTCACCTTTGCTCCTATCCTGAGACCTGCCTCGACTTGGGGAGCCCTTTCTGTTGGGATTGCCACGACCATCACCTTTGGCGGGTGCAGCTTTTGTGTCCTTTGGACCACCGGCCTTCTTCTTCTCAGCAATGCGATTACGGTTTTCCCTCAGTCGTTCCTTGTCAATCAGGTTCTTCATGGACTGGTGAAGAAAACTGTACGACTCCTCATAGGCCTTTTCAGATGCACGATCAAACACTTCAATGTCATACTTCAGCAACTGGCTAGGACGGATCTGCCTCAGGAGAATGTCCCTTAGTACAGCATCTTCGGGGGTAGTGGCCATACCTGCTAGGGTAGCATCCCACTTGTTGACAAATCTTCTCAAGGCCTGGACCGTGTCACCTACCTTGACAACACCCAGAAGATCTTCAACCCTGTAAAGACTACCCGCTTCTTCTGATGTTTTGAAGTAGTCCTCGAACATGAGCAATACATATCGTCCCCTAACTTGGATACCTTTTTGGGATTGCTGCTCTTTGTAGTTCAGGATCCTGGTGGCAAGATCTCCGCCGGCTGAGCGTGTGAGCGCTGCTGAAAACTTTGTATCCGAATCCAGCGTGAGAAACTTCCCGGGATCTTGAAGCTTCTGCTCAAGCTTTTCACGGGTGCAAGACTGGTCATTCACCTCGTTCAGCCATGCCCAAGCTTCATCCGGACGATCAGAACAGCTCTTGACTTCATCCCTTACATTGTTTTTCCAATTCCTATATGACTCTGGGGCTGGCATGTTGTTCAACTTGATGACTTCGGCTTCCTTAGTCTTTTCTTTATCCTTCTCATCCCTTTGGGTTAAGGCTTTCACCAATTCGATAAGATCTGAAGCTCCCATCATCTGTTGTTGTTTGCCAACACTCTTTGGGGAATCATTTGGGGGAGTCTTGATCGGCTGAGTCGGAGTCCTGAAACCTGACATGGTCGGCAGATGAGGTTTGTCGTTTCCGACAGCTGGCTCGATGGGAGCGCTACCTTTGAGCAACTCATCTAATCTCGCCTTGGCCTCTTGTGCCAACACTCCAGGTGACTTGATCTCGATAATCGGCTCATTGTCGGCTTTCGCTGCGGATGCTTCGGGTGCTCTCGGAGTTGCAATGTTGTAAGTGGGCACACCAGCACTGGTGGCTGGGTTTGCAATCGAGACGAATGCTTTCGGCAACGGTGCTGACTGCGCTTTGGCAACATTGGTTCAGCTGTTCCTGCAAGTCATCGATCTGGTCCTGAAAGCTAAGATTCTGTGCCGCGGCTTCAGTGATTTTGTCTGACATCTCCCGCTTGTAGTTTTCAAATTCTACTTTCAACTGAATGAAACGGGCTTGCTCGATAGCAACTTGATCATCACATTGTTTCTTTGCAGCAGTTATGGCATTCCTAGTAGCATACTGTTTATGCATAGGAGGCTTCGAATTCGTTTGTGATACGTTGCCTTTCCTCTACAATCTTTTGGTCATGCTTGGCGTTTGCCTCTGCCTTGAACTCCTCAACCCTGACATCATGTTTCGCTTGAGCCTGGTTCAACCTGACCTCAAGTTCATCACCTCGTTTTGGTTCTTCAGCTATTGCAGCTATTGCCTTTGCTTCTACACCCTGCAACCTTTGCTCGTGCTCTTGTTCCTGTCTGGCGAGCTTGTTTGACCAATCATTTTTGATGGCGTCAACCACTCCATGCATGATCTGAAGTTTCCTTTGTTCAGCTGCCCTCATTACTTGCAGTGTGTTCCCGCTGGTAATCTGAGCGGTTGTTTTGTATGAACGTGAAGTATGCAACCACCGGCTGATAGATCGTGTTCTCATCCATCGGCTCGGAGTCACCTCCAGCTGTGTCTGGCACAGCAACGGGTGGACCTGACCCTGGGATGGCGAGTGTGAGGTCGGTTGGGGTCCCCATGGCAAAGTGGTGAGAGTACGGCTGATAACCTGTATTTTATCAGGTCAGCCACAATGTTACTATAACAATGGGGTGAGCCAAACCTGCCGCTAAGCTCTCAGCACTTTTGAACCAAGGCTATAAGCACAGTCGTCATGACGTATACTTTACATAGGGTTTTACTGCAGGAATTTTTACATATACATATTATCTTGTGTATGTACATATCATATTATCTTATTGTATGTGCTGTATTGTATGTATATAACTATATAACATTGTACCATTTGACACGAACCTGTTGAGAGCCAAGGTTTCTTGAAGTGCAAGTGTGTGGGCTATAAGCAATTGCATTTTCCTGAAACCACGAGAAACAGTATCTGTACAGAATATAAATAGATAAGAACGCCACTCTCAACTAGTAGAGACTTCAAAAATCTTCCAAAGCTGACATGCCAAGGAAGCGCTTGTCTCAAGACACACCAAGGCCAAAGCAGGTGGAGCTCCTATCAGCACGACAGCTGCACAGGCAAGGAGGCCAACCACCCTGTGGCAAGGCAATACAAGACCACAACAAGACCTGCATGCTTAGTATCATTTCAATTCATTTCATATTATTACATATGACTCGACATATTAATTAGTTCATAAGATCATAAATTGCTATATTATTTCTTCACTTGGCCATAAAGTGTCTTTTGTCTGGATAGTGCCTGTGCACAGATCTTCTCTTCTTTCCCTCCATGGCTCCAAGGACGCAGGGCTCTTAAGTTTGAGCCAGCCTGGTCCCCAAATCAAACTACTATATCATCTCTCCTTTCACCTACACCCTTCGCAATATTTTGGGCGCCCAATCTCTTTCCTCATCTCAGGACACTTGTTCTACCCACAGCCAAAACTAAAAAGTATAGTGGTAGAAAACCATCGATAATCTAAGATCTTTCGGAAGGGCGCCGTTGCAACAGAGGCCGACACAAACACTCAGACTGCCTTGCAAATGAAGAGATTTGAAGGAAACGGGCAACCACAGAAAGTATCATCCACCGGCGATGATCGTATGCGAACATACTGTTGAATCACTTTTCAGCTTCCCCGCATCAAGATATCAGAAGTTCCTGGAGCAAATGCCAGAGACCGAAACATTTCATCCAGATAGCGAGGAGAAACTTCCTTGCCAGCAGGATGGATTGCCAAGTTCTCTCAAGGGCCAGGACTTCAAGACAAAACCATTCAAAACCTCTCCTGAGTAAGTGCCAACTCAGGTCCCTTGAAAGCTCTGTTGGCACCTACTAACCCCTGGAAGCTTAAAGCAACTGTTAGGTCATGCCAGGTTGGCGAACCTTTGGCAATTGCTGGTGCTTCACGCTCAGAAGGAGCCAACTCTGCTTACGTCCAAACTTATATAATTTAATCATATTCTTGGCTTGACTTTAGATTGAGTAAAGTTTACTCAGTAAACAATGCAAAATCATAACACATAGAATATAATATCAACCAAATTACACCCCCGTAGACCCCAAACAGTAATTCCATATCAGCGTGGTATTGTTCGCACCATGACCAAGCAATGGCCGCGCATTTTTGCGCCGTCCTGCCCCCCCCCCGTGTTACAATCACCCCGTTTTTTGTCTATCAGATTCGTCCGGATACGGCTAGAGGTCGCATGCCGTGTGGCAACGGCATCTCCAATCAGATCGCCGCGGAAAACAATGGAGACAGGATCTGTAGGGTCGACCCTGACATGAATGCTTGATTTGATGCAATCGGCTATGTCGACCCTTGATTAGGACTGTCGGTTTAATCTCTCGGGTTAGTCCCACAGATTGCCGTAGGTATTCTCTTCACCGTGTCTTTTGCTTCAGTCTTTGCAAAGCTTGACAAAACAAATGGTCGCAAGGAGTTGGAATTGCTATCACACTAAAAGAGAACTCCAGCAACTGAGAAAGTGCGTAGGGATGCTATCAACAGCACGATTCCGATCACAGCACCTCCGGCATATTTTTGGTCCGCCCTGCCCTCCCCCCCTTGGGGGTGAGACTGAAAATACCGACAAAACTCAAAGTTGAAGCAAAATGCGGCGTGAGCTGCTGCAGGTACCGTGTCAACTCTTCCGGAATAAAAATCCGGATTTCAACGGATTTGAATGCATTATGAAACATGTACCAGGTATCTTTATTTGGTGACATCCTGATCAGCAGTGATCAACATGTGTAACATGCTATTTTCATTTCAGAGCGCGAGCGCCTAGAGCCGGCTCAAAAAAGGATCATCAGTTCTGTTCAGCCTGCGGAACAAGTCCACATGATTCGATGATGGTCGAGATGATGAGGACGAGGAGGATGGGGAGATGGATGAATTGGATGATGGATGATGGATGATGATGGGTGATGATGATGATGATGACGATGATGATGATGATGGTGATGATGGTCGATGATGATGATGATGATGTTGATGATGATGATGGTCGGTGATGATGATGATGATGATGGTGATGATGATGATGGTGATGGTGACGGATGATGATGATGGTGATGATGATGATGAGGAGGAGGACGACGATGATGATGATGATGGTGATGAAGGTGATGATGATGATGATGATGGTGATGATGATGATGATGATTATTGGCGATGATGATGGTCGATGATGATGGACGATGATCGATGATCGATGATGGCCGATGATGGTCAACGATGATTGGTGATGGACGATGATGATCTGATAATCTGATGATACAATGACCTGATGATCATTGGATTATCTGATGATCTGCATGATGACCTGATGATGATGATGATGATGATGATGATGATGATGATGATGGTCATGGAAAATGGAAACTGATGTCGAAGTAGGAGGTCTCCGACGGAAAAAGGGGTTCAAGAAGCAAAGGTCATACGGTGCAATCTGGCGGAAGCTTCCTTTTGACCATGCTCAGTTCCTTCACGAGCTCTGGGCGTTCAAGACGTGGAAGTTTTGTTGCCGACCGGATTGCTGACTTTTTGGCCGTTGGCGCGAATTTTGGAAGTCTTTCCCACGGCAGTTGGTCTTCAAAGTCGTTGCGTTCCTTCACGAGCCCTGGGCGTTCAAGACGTGGAAGTTTTGTTGCCGGCCGGATTGCTGACATTTTGGCCGTTGGCGCGAATGGTCTTGGAAGCCTTTCCCACGGCAGTTGGTCTTCAAAGTCGTTGCGTTCCTTCACGAGCCCTGGGCGTGACGTGGAAGTTTTGTTGCCGACCGGATTGCTGAATTTTGGCCGTTGGCGCGAATGGTCTTGGAAGTCTTTCCCACGGCAGTTGGTCTTCAAAGTCGTTGCGTTCCTTCACGAGCCCTTGGCGTTCAAGACGTGGAAGTTTTGTTGCCGGGATTGCTGACATATTGGCCGTTGGCGCGAATGGTCTTGAAAGTCTTTCCCACGGCATGACGTTGTAGCCATGATTCTCCAGGATCTCTGGTGTGAGCATCAGGGACTGCTGAACCCGTCCGATGTACCCGTCGATCTTGGACATGTTATCTCTGGCCATTGCGGAGTAGTTGAAGAACTTTGGCAGTTTCTTCTTCCATCTGTAGATCGCGGGAGCAAGAGCCAGAATGCAGGTGAAATGGTTCACTGCAGCGGCCCGCTCGCGACCCAGCTTGGTGTTCTGCTCGATGAGGTCAGTAATCGTTGTCTCCAACGTCATAGTTTCCATGTTCTCACCTTCATCGTCCACCTTCTGGTTGTAGCATCTCCATGCATGTCCCAAATGGATCACCTGGCGCTGCCACTCATCGAGGGTTGCGTTGAACATCTCCTGGGTTCCTTTCGATTGCCAGGTCGTGTCCATGTCGAAGTAGTGGAGCCCACGGTGAATCAATCGCCCTGAACGAGATGGTGATGGGCGCATCAGGGTCGGACGGATTGAGAACCCCCTCCCTCTTCCTCGTTGTACTCAACCATGTATTCTCGGCTGGGACTGATTGGTTCACACCTCGTAGATCACCCCCATATGGTCGAAGCTTGAATTCTCGAAGGTGATCTCGCAGCATCGACACAGTAAAGGTTGCGTCGTTTCGAATGGGATGAGGCACATGGAAGTTCTTGATGTACTCCCACATGTTTTCCAAACTATTGATGCATTCTGTGGTGCGAAACCCAAGGACTTTGTGGTTGCTTCGAGATGCAAGCTGGACAAAGGTCTTCATGTAGGTGGTGCATCTATCCAAGAATCTTTTCGCTCCTTGGTTCAGCTCCTCTGGGTTCTTGACCAGCTCTAAGACCTGAAGGAACAACGTGATGGCATTCACTTCGGACCGATTCGATGGTACCGTGCCCAGGAAGCATGCTGATGCTGCAGCAATCGGACTAATGCAAACTGCTGCTCGTCGGCTCGTGCTCCTTGTACATAACGGGGATAACTCCTTGTTTCCCGTTGTCTCGCAGCATCATGAGAATGGAGCGGATGTCGCTGACGTCATGCTGCACCAAACCGATGATCGGCGAGTAATTCGACATGGCAGTCGCACCGTAGGGGTCTCGTACTAACCGGGGTTGGTAAACCTTCGGCTTTCCGATCGCCCAGGGGTCACGTACTCCCTGGCGTGGATACACGTGCAGGTTTCCGATCGCCCGTCCGGTGATGCACGACGAAGAGGAAGTCGTAATAGTCGTGGACCATTGACCATTACCCTTCCGTCTTTCGGTATCCTGAGATATCAAAGCGTGCATTGACTGGACATCCCCTCATGTGATACATCATTAACCACATAAGATCCGCTGCTATCTCATCAATGTCATAGGTGATAGAAACCGCTGTCTTCTTTGCTGAACGTCTGTCATGCTCGCAACTGCTGCATGTGTCATCCGTCTCTGACAACGACTTCTTGAACCGAATAGACATATGTCGACGCACTGTTTTGAGAATGATGTCGACAATCTGACTGGTGTAGGTCTGTGTAACTTTCGTTTCCGATCACATTTCTTGTGTAAATCAAACTTGACCCCCCATGATACCATTCTCCATGGCTTCTTGATTGGAATGCGATGACCACCAAACTGTGTTGTAAGACCGTACATGCATCCATCGAAGTCATGAATATGTGACTCAGTGCCGTCAATCATGCATCTCATCCCCTCATCGTGCCAGTAGTCACAGCCCCTAGGCAGTTCTAATAGGGCCATGGCATCCAACTTGATCACTCTCAATAAGCAATTTGAAAACTCTTCCCATCACTTCCAGTATAGACGTGCTTTGGCATGAATCATATGAGCTGTAGCATTGCAAACCCTTTTGTTCAGCCTGTTCCACGGAGATCCGCCCGTGCACGGTCCAGCGAAGAAGACGCAGTCCTTGTTGCTGCCGAGGCATCTCCTCCACTTCGCACTTCCATATCTAGAGAGAAGGTCATCATCCTCTGTGATCAATTCCAGATGAAAAGATGTATCCATGATTTCTCTGTACCTTTTTGTCATTAAACTTGAAGGTTCGGCACACATCAATACCATAGTGGGTGTACTCTCGGGCAACTCCTGCATTGTAATAGTGACGTTCTTTCCCAAGTACTTTGTATTGTCAAGATCATGAATCGATCTGATGAAGGTATACTTCATGCATTATCACGAACCAATACCAAATTGATCAAACTGTCCGCAAATATGTTCAACTCATTCTTGTTCTTATTCTCTTCGACCATCATCCGATATGCGTGAGGGATAAATATCTTGCTGGGAGAAATAATGTCCAGGACCCATGGTGTTGACACAAGCCATCAGATTATCATCCATAATGCAACTCGCAACCGGAAGAACCTCCTGATGTCTCAAAACACGAAAGATAGACTTTCCAGTCCAGAACTCATTTCGATTGTTTGACCTTTCTCCATTGTTACCTGGGAGACGCCAATTGCCTTTGTCCACCCTCACATTCGACTGGAACTTCAATTGAGTTTCTCTCCAATCTTGAATCAAACGATGATCACACGGACAATCATCACAATCACTTGGAACGAACATTTTTCTTCTTGGTACTTTGTGGATCCTTTCCAAAACATGGTCACCTACCCACTTCCATTCATCACGAACATGTACTTCATCTTGACCACATTCTGTTGCTGATGCTATTTTCTTGATATTTCTCCTCCGTATAGGCGGCTTTTGTAACTTCAACAGGTCTGAAAACGATTTGTTGAACTTGGTGGAGTCTTTGAATTGTTTCGAATCCTCCATGCCTCTCCCCCCATGAACAAGGCGTACCAGGGCATTGATCACCCTAATAGTCATAGGATTCCCTTCATATAACGAATACGGAATCTTCTGATGACGTTGAGCTTGTTCAAAGAGTATTTCAGTACTGAATGTGAGGCTCGGATTGCTCAGTTCCGACGTCGACGTCCGTTGGAACCGAGAACTGGCCGCCGCGGATATGCATACGGGCAGTGAGACAATCGGAGCGGAAGTGGGGTGATGGTACTGGAATCATGCCCTTTCAATCCATTTGTCAAAACGTGATTGTTGCAACAATGGTGGAACACGATCCTCAACTTGTTCCCACTTCCCGTGGACTAAGATCCAGGTGCTCCGAAGGCAATCTGCAGGGAGTTTGACACCAGCTAGTCTTGTTCTGAACAATGTAGGAGTTTTGACCACAAATATTGGATCCATACCAGGTAGTTCTTGAAGCTTTTCTCGACTTGAAAGACCCTTACGATACACCTCAGGTGGCAGTATGGGTGTTTCAGTATACGGAAAATTGGGAACCTCATCTGTCCTTGACTGAAAAACTTGACGAACTGTAGTGTCAACATCCGTAGTGGGCTGCACTAGGTCTGCCAATTGCTTCGAACCAAGGTCTTCGGGTTCCAAAAGATTGATCAACATACAAGCCTTCTTCCAGGCTAGGGGGTTCGTAAAACCTTTTGTGTGGATGTCCGCGGCCATCTTCGCTGTGATCTCGTACATGAGAACGAAGTGATCTTTGCTGAAATGCTCATGTAATGACGTATTAGAAATTCCATGAGTCCTTTCCAGATGCCGCATTGTTGGATTTCTGCCAGAACGAACCACACCAATCATCCCTTGGTTGTCATCGTGAAACAATAACTTGGGAGATGAATCTGTAAGCGTTTCAACGCGATGGATAGATCCTTCATATCGTTTCCGACCCATCCAATCATTCTCTTCCCTAAGGTAGAGTTAACATAGCACATCAGATGGTATAGTTTGGCATCATCTTGAGTGGACCATTTTGTCACATTTCGTGCTAATGTATTGATTGATCTCAACAAATCGAATCGGGCGATCCTTGCTGCATATAAGAGAGCTTCATCAAGATGCTAGCAGCATGAGGAGCAAGTGCACCTCGTTGGACTTCAACAGATTCCGGCCGAGAATCGGAGGCATCGGGCTGTAAGGCAACCGACGATCCAGGATCGAACTTTGTAGAACACCAGGGACATTGAACTGCATGCTTGGGATCCCCAGGTGCTGGTGCTCGAGACTTATGTTGTTTGGTCTCTTCAGGGAGACTAGGTGTTGAGACTTGTTTTAACTTTGTATCTTTCCCCACAAGCTCAAGATACTTTTCAACAGAGAGCTTCAACAGACCCTCCATATTGTAGGTCATGGTAGTGACCTCTGTGCCATCATGCAGGCGATTGGTTCCTTTGCTTAGCAAACAACCAAGGTAGAGACCCTAATCAGTCTCAGGTTCAATTCGTAGCTTCGACCTTAACATTTCCCATCCCTTGGCCCTTGGTGAGATTCTGTGCTGGTCCAGCTAACTTCAGATCATCAACGTAGATGACTAACAAAAGCTTAAGTTCCTTATGGAAATACATCGATGGCCATTCCTCCACAACTGGCATGAACCCAACTTCACGGACATGTGTATCACAATGTTGTTCCCACATCGTGCCCGCATCAGGATGACAATAAAGTGCTTTGACAAGTCGCACTACCGGTCTTCTGAACTTCCGGATGTCGATGTCGTCCGGCCATGCATCTTCGGGGAGTTCGACCCAACAAGGAGGTCCCGTGAGCCTCGCTTGTATGTACTCCTGAATGGCGTCTGCCAGCTTCACATTGTGACCGGGGATGCAACCATAGAAATCTGCCCATCGGGAGGCTTCAAATGTCGCTGGAGAATTGCCGAGGTCCTGAAAGAACGCGGCTTCCCAGTGTTGATTCTTCACTTGGTTCCCAAGTAAAACGCCTCGACCTTTGAACTTTCGTCCAGGGCTCCCCTTTGGTAGCTGGTAATTCTTCTCGACACAAATGCCGTGAACTCGTGCCATGTGAACTTCTTTTCCTTCACGCTTTGCTTCTGCCACAACATCATCGTATTCACGAACCATGGAGAAATCATAGACTCCTTGCTTGTGCTGCCCCAACCACTCGTTCCTCATAGAAGCCTTGGCGTCCGGGTCTTCCATCATCTCTTTACGACCAACTGGCCGTGAGACCATCGCGTTGTACAACTTCCCAAACCTCATCTCACCTTGACCGAACTTCTCGCGATGCTCAAGATCTTGATGAACACAAGGCATACAAGGAATCGAACTCACGAAGTGGTCGACCTTGGACTTACCGTCGAAGTCTTTTGAGGTAGAAGCCGTTGGTGCAGCTTTAGCAGGTGTCGTGATCTTCCCAGTGTTGAAGTCATAGTGAACATCTTCCCAGTGAGCTTTTGGTCCTCTACCAAATTCATGTTCAGACCATTCAGCCCATTCATTCAAGAACTCTTGACCATCATCATCACTTGGGATGTTTGTGCTCGTCTCACTGGGAGTCACGGGAGAAACAGCGTTGTACTTCTTGATGTTGATGAGATCATTGGCATCACGGGTTGCTGATAAGCATTCCCGATCGCCATGACCCCTGGCATGGTTCGGCATCCTCGGATGATATACGTTCCCAATCTCCTCGGAGCGTTCCCACGCCAACAGCAGCGTCTTTGCCGCCATCTTTGCCTGAACTCTCCTTCAGATCTTTATTACTCTTTTTCTTCTTCTTTCGTCCTCCATCTTTTGGTGGATCTTTGTGTGAACTTGCTTCGGACTTCTTCTTCTTCTCGGCAGCCTCAGCTTTGGCTTTCTTCCCCTCCTCTTTCTTCAACTTGATCTCCTTGAGTTTCTCAGCCTCGGCTTCTAGCTGTCCACGACGAATGATGACATCCCTCTCCTTGGCGGACAGTGACTTCCATTCTTCAGGACTGTAACTACTCTTTGGCCTTGGTGACCCTCGTACTTCTTTGCGACCATCCGGACCAACTCGATAAGGTCGTCCTCGTTTGTCGAGCTTGACATGCTCGCCAATGTCGCTGAGGTAGATGATGCCGTCACCAGGTTTGCCCATAGAGTGATGTTCAGGTCCATCATAAGGAGGTTCACCGTCAGGAGGAGGTACAGGAGGTTCACCAACGATTTCAGCTTCATCGCTCTTCTCTTTGTCGAGTTTGACGTCCATCTCTTCCATCATGCGGTTGAACTCCTTCTTCTTGATGTTCAACACGGTTGGTGATCTTCCCTTTCTTGGGTTTATCATCACCTCCATCTCCGTCATCATCGTCTTCGTCATCATCATCTTCGTCTTGTTGATCTTCAAGGAAATCAGGTGATCCTGTAAGACGAACTTTCACAGCCAACCCTTCCAACGTCGTGTTCACCTTCTCATAGATGTCTTTGCATGGGAACGTCAATGGCAGATGTACTTCAATCTTCTCAGTAAGATGAGGATGGCGCAGCTTGTCGATAATGGTCTTGGCATTGAACGAGTAGTTCTGCTTCGTCATGTCCGACAATGCCCATGCCATATATTGCCTTCGCCAATTGACGCCTGGAGCAATCTCGTATCCAGCAAAGACACCAGGGATACCCTTGGGGTCGTACTTGTGAGCTTGTTCATTGGCTCTAGCTCCACTCGGCTTGAAGTAAACCAAAGCACCAAATGGGATCTTTTCGCCCTTGAACTCGGTGCCGTGGAGCTTACACCATGCACTCACATCATCTTCACCAGGTTCCACATTGAGTAGGTGACATACACATCGTATGGCCAACTTCAAGAAACATGCTGGTAATCCAGCCTCGAGTAGGCATGTGGTGGTTGTTGCGATGACGAACTGGTTGTTGCGCTCGGCAAGGGAATTCGTAGATGGTCTTCCCGGCAGGGCATGGTCGAAAGGTATCTTCAGTGCTTCCATGCCCTTGACAAACTGTCTAGCTTTGTCGGAGTAGGCTTCTCTGATAGTGCGCCTCCCCATAAAGTATTTCACCGCCCTCACAACATCTTCGGTGCTCTTAGTTGGAGAGGGGTAGCTCTGAATGATGCCGGTAAATCTGTCACGAATGACCAGAATCTCCTTGACCGTGTCATAGCCCAACTTGGTCGTCTTGCGTGTGTCCATGAAGTCAAAAGTGATGAGGTCGCCGAACTTTGTGAGCTTTCGACGGAATGCACCTCGATAGGTCTTGTGGTGCTTCATCTTAGCCCGCACACAGGAGTTGCAGTACGGATTCTTGCATCGATGTGTCAACAATGTTCCAGAGTACGAGCCTCATGTTTCAATGTACCTCTCTTCGACAATCGTACTCCTCCATCAGGATCATCGACATCGATATCATCCTCATCATCTTCTTCTTCTTCATGCGGCCCATTTTCAACACCAACTTCATCTTCATCAGGTTGATCATCCTCTGGATCATCATCATCATCATCATCAGCTGCTGGTACTCGATCATCATCATCATCATCATCATCATCATCATCATCATCATCGTTCCGGCCAGGGACGTCATCAACATGGACATCTTCCTCGTCCGGATTCTCTTCACGGATGGATGGTTCATAACCGTCATCTTCGTCATGCTCTTCACCAGCTGCTGCAGGAACTGTCTTCCGTCTAGATCGCTTCTTCTTCTTCTTTGCCTTCCTCGGAGACTTCGTTGGCCCGTCGACGTACGTACCAACTCCATCATCCGATTCGGACATTTCATCACCACTCTCACCATCAAGGAATATCGTCCTTGACGCTGTGCTGTTGCCCATGAGACCCAACACCTTCATAACCAACTCAGCCTCATGGTCAGGCACTGGCCGATAGTCTTTGGCCCCGAGGTAGACATACGGGATGAGATCGTGAACTTCCATCCTGATCTTGTCACCTTCGGAGTTGATCATGTAGGGTTCTCTCCCATTAGGCCAAACAAAGGTATAACCTTGTTCCATGCATCGTTTTCCCAATGATAGAACTGATGGAGTATCCTCTAACACATGTGCCTTAGCAGGTTCATTGAATGTGTCAAAGTCCAAATCCACCATAGTAGAAGTAGATGTGATGCCATTCGCAGTGCGGAAGTTGACTCTATCAGTCTGATACGTGTCAATGTCCATCCGATCAACTCTCGTTGATGAAATGAGATCATGACCACTACCAGAATCCATGATGAATCGTCTGTCCTTGAGCTCAATCGGCATCGTGATGCACATGATGTTGTCACGACGACCATATTTTCCTGGTACATGAGGGATGATCTCTTCATAGCATATCTCAGCTCGAGAGTTGTTCTCCAAATACTCAATGCTATTGATCTTGAGCTTGATATCGTTCTTGGGTCCCAGGATAACATGTACTTCATCAACATCTGAGAACTCATTTTCAGACGTCCATCAGTATGCCAATTGCACGTGCTCTTGTCATGCCCAACTTGGATTGCAAAACCCATTGTTGGTCATTCATGATTTCTTTAGGTAACTGGGCAGGAGTCAGCCATCTTCTCCACGCATCAGTGTCAGGATCTCCCGATGCAACGCATACAGCTTGCACGACGTTTGATCGCCACACATCAAGATCTTGGCATTTGGGCCATGGCTTGACGATGACCTTCTCATGCTCCTTCCTCGAAATTCGAGTAACCCAATCCTTCCCATCTTGGCCAATATCACTGTTGACAACGCTAGCATCTTTGCCATCTTTCCGATCCCAAAGTCCAGGCGGATTGTCAGGGACAGGGTCATATTCAGGAGCATTGCTTCCCTTCAACGTCTCTTGTCCTTCTTCCACCTGTTCCAACCAACTCTGGTACTCCTTCATCTCGTCGTAGTTCTGTTGAGCTGGCTCTTCAGATAAACGAAGCTTCTCACGAAGATCGTCCATTTCACTGTTGGCCTTATTTTCAATGGCGCTATTCACGCTTGGAGGATGTGGTAGTGCAAATCCATGATTCCTTGTAGATGATGAAGCTTTGGGAGTCCCTTTGGGTGTCGATATTGATACTGCGAATGAAGGTGTCTTGGCTGTAGGTGCCAATGTCTGCGGAGCCAGACTTGTAGGAGGTAAGGCTGATGGTGATGCAGGCATAGCGACAGTAGGAGCCACCGTGTTCCACGACGCCGGCATAGACTTCATAGCCCACTTGGCATCCTGCGATAGTTTCAGAGAGTCATTTTTTCTGATCGTCGCATCACGTTCAGCACAAGCCGTCTTATACAACTTCTTCCATCTGTCCGCTTCTGCTTCTTCTGCGTTGACAAGCGCTTCTGTCAAGTTGGGGTTGCACTCTATTCCTTCTTGAAGTCGATGAATCTCTAGATTCGCTTTGTGAAGTTCGTCATTCAACTCCCCGGTCACTTTGATACTGGCCTCGTCACCATCAGTGTTGAATCGAGATCCAATGAGTTCGGCGATCCGGGATCGTAGTTGATTGTTTGACTCGATCAACTTCATATTCTCATCCATGAGTTCATCCTTGACAGCCTCAATGTTGACCTCCCTATGTCTTTGAATGCTTGAAGTTCAGTGTATCTAAACTGTCAGTATTCAGCCTTCTCATCCGTGAATCAATCGATTCTCATACCATTCCTTCGAAGCAATTTCGTTTTCAATCAGTTTCATAAGGTGATTGATCTCCACCTGTAACTCATTGTTCTTCCAAAGGTGCTCGTCCTCCTTCTTCTGAGCCATGTTCGCCATGTCACGAACTTTCGCGAAATGATCACGCGTCGCACTGTCCTTGGCGGCGATGATGTCATCCTTCCTTGCCAGGCTTGCTGTTAGCTCATTGATGACCGTCTGCATCTCCGCCGCTCTTTCATCTCGTAGTGCGACGGCTCGTTGACCATGTTCCATGACCATCTCGTTGTTGACAACCATCATCTGCGAACTCTCTGTCAATCTCTGTCTCAAGAGTTCCATCTCCTCCTTGTTCGCCATCTCCTTCTCATTGACGTACTGTGCGCATGCTTCACGTAGTTGTAGCCCATCTTGACGATAGTGACTCGCCATGGCTTCAGACATTTCTTGTTGTTCTCGAAGAATATCGATGCATTCTCCAGTTCAGAGTGATACGGTCTCCTCATAGCCATACTTTCCTGAACGATGTGGGCCGCACCTGCTTCTGCGAGTTCACCACGTTGTCCAAGCTCATAGATTCTCCAGGTTGATCCTTCATCCATAAGATGTGCCTCGGCCACACCATTGGATTGTTCGTCCAGTAAGTTGTACGCTGTGATGAGGGATTTTCTCATGAATTCCATCTCTGAATTGACATGTTCCTGCTATTCTTCATGATGTTGATGAGAATAGACCTCTACATTGTTGATCATCTGATCGCGATGTGCAAGAACATCTTGATACAAAGTCAATCTATTTTCCAGTTCAGTCCTAGCGTGCTCACTCTTTTCCAGCTTGTCGATGTTGTGTTGAAGTTGACGTCGAAGTCGCGCCTCGCTCTCGTTCCTCGCAGCACTGCCAGATGACTTGCGTTTGGATGAGGTAGCAGGCCTGCCCACCTCACCCTCCCGCGTGGCCGCGCCCGACGGGCTTCGGCCACCGGCGTCACCACTATCCAGGGCACAGGTCCTCGTAGAGCGTGGAGATCTTGCCGACGTCGACCCGTTGGCGCTTCCCCGTAGGGAACCAACTTGGCTGACCACCATGAAGCTATGTGAAGACGCTCCACTTTCAGGTCCTCGGTACGAGACCATACCGCCGCCCCCGATCCAGGCGTATCGTTGATCGCCTGAGCAGGAGCTGCATTTGCAAAGGAAAAGCTCGTGTCATTGCTGCTCGACTGATTTTGTTGAGACATCTTTCACTCCCCAGCAGTCCACTTCCGTTTGCTACAGTTCAATGACTTGTAGTAGGGCAAGTAGTCCTAGATGCCGAAGGTGATGTTCTCGCGTGGGCCCACCGTACGCTCAGCCGAGCGTACGGCTGATAACCTGTGAACAGGCTCTGGTTCGAATGATGTCGTGTAGTAGACAATGTTCTTGGTCGTATCCTTCTTGTCCTTCAAATCAAAGTCCTGTAGCAGCCGCGCTATTTTCCATTGCTGTGGGCGGTATTGCGTCCTTGAGCCAGGTAGCGGAATCGCATCCTTCTCACACCGAATTGCCCTAGGTTGACCTACCGGAACTGTTGCATACTCAAGGCACACGCTGTCTGCCTACTATTTACAATTATATAATATCAATATAGGTATTATCAGAATCAGCATGTCAGTCTCAGAGCTCCTGCAAGGACTGAGACATTGGATGACATTGGTGTCTTTCCAATGTTGGTTCAACGGGATCACCCCCACGCAGTCGACCTTACAGCTACGTTGCTGTGCAAACTATTGTCATCACCAGAGGCTGCTACAGCACTGCATTGAGAGGTTGACTCTGCATTGCCATAGCGCGTGAACAGCTCTTCACCAGCAGCTATGTCCTTTGTTGCCTGGAGAGGGTAGGGAATCTGAAACAAATGTCGATGCGAGTGCAAGGAACGAATGTGCATGTGTGTGTGTGTCGTAAGTGTGTTTGGGTGAGGTCTCTGGATTGTTGAATATTCCCGAGCACCTGCTCTGCTTCTTGACAAACACGGTGCAATCAGTGCAATCGCAAATTATAGTACAAGTCCAAGTGGATTCAGCGTGATATGACAGAGGCAGCATAATCGCGACGCTGCAGTCGTGTAGGCAAAAAAATGCAAAAACTGATAAACTATTGTAAACTATGGTAAACTTAAGTTGAAACATGAAATGGAGATGTAGACCGTGTTGATCTCAAAGGAAAACCATGGTCTTGAAACGGTGTGTTTTTTCAGAAGTCGGCAAGATCGGGCGGCCGTCATGATTATCTTCCAAAATCGTGGAACATGAAAAATGGAATGGCATGAAGATGTAGCATCTGCCTGCAAGAAAGCCACTGCAGGCAGCATGCCACTTCGATGCGTCTTTATCAAGACAAACCTTGCAACAGCTGTCACGGCCGCACTACGTGGTCCAAAACTTAAACCCATATGAACCAATACAAACATCCAAAAGTATCCAAAACATTCCAAAACTAAGTAAGTTTAGCAAGTCGATCTACAGCAACAAGTTGCCTGAGAGTCCTCTGGTGGATGTCTTTCAACACTGTAGAAGACTGGGCAATAACATGCAATAACAAATACCATCGATCCATCGACCCATCGACCCATCGACCCATCGACCCATCGACATCCGTTTTAAAAAAATGGCTCAGCTCAAGCATCTCCAATGGTTTCATGTTCTTCACAGGCTGAAGATTTGGATAGCTTTTGGATAGCTTAGGCAGCTTAGGACTCGACTTTGCATTGGCGTTCTCTCTGGAACCTTTTGGAAAAAGGATGGACAGTCTTGCGAAATCAGGAAGTCCAGAGTCCGCAAACAGTCACTGTAGTTTTTCTTGTGAAATTGGCCATTGAGCTCGCAGCCGTGGTTGATCATGCATCCAACCTCGAAAGCCAAAGATTATTATTAGGAGCTTCTTTGGATTTTGTTGTTCAAGTCCAGGACACTTACAGTAGTCACAAGTAGTCACATGTAGTCACTCAGAAACTCAGTTCAAGACTCCTAAATCCTGCAGATTTCTCCTCTGGTGGATGTGTTCCCCTCCTACACGCCAAAAAAAATTGGACGCCAAAAAACACAGAGATTCCGAATGCCAAAACACAGTCACTGCAGTCAACTGTCCTGGAGTCAGAACTGCAATCTCCACTTCCTGCCATTGCAACACATTGCAACTTTCGACAGAACTTGTGCAGGACACGAAGTACAATCTAAGTACAATCGACAGAACTTGTCGGTACTGGCCTCATGAGAAAACGAGAAAACCATCAAAACGCGCCTTGGCACCTTCTCGAATGGCGCGAGCGACAGGGGCTCCATCAAGCAACCATCCTTGCGATATCACATGATTTCGCTGCATGGAAAAAGCTCACAAATCTCCACTCGCGGCACCTCCGCTGCAAAGGCTGAGTACGTACCTAGGCAAAAGGGTGGCAGAAGCAACGGTGAAATCCGAAACAGAAATCCCAGCAGCGAACCTGTTATCATCAGATTGTAGCCCAGCACCTGCATCAGGCAGTGAAAAACACTGAAAGCTTATGCCAAGTCTCACCGACCAGGTGCTGCACCTCCACTTTGGCCCTGTGCCTGTCCATCTGTGTGCCGCTCGTGTCATGGTGGGACTTGCTCGAAAAATGCTACAAGGAATCCACTAAAAGCGAGAACAACAAAAAGATTGTTCAAAAAATGAAAAGTGAGAAACTTGGAAATAATAAATTAATGGTGGAAGCATCATCTATAACATCCTGGCAACACGTTTCTATCTATTTGAGGGTTGCTATATCTAATGTCTGAAACAAGACTACGAGTAGTAAGCTTGTGCCAGTGCCATGCCTTCGATCTGCAATGCCCAGACCTCACGTGCCACAGCTCCTGGTACCCTGGTGAACACCACAACAGCTGGTAAATGATAGTAAATTGCACGTCCATCTCCCTAAGATATCATGATCCATCCCCATGTTTGTTCAGTATCTTCAGCCACTTGCAAGATCAAGAAATCTCGAACTCTGGGACAACGGCTTCAGACCAGCCAGCAGCGAACCCTGCAGGCACAGCTCAAGATGCTCAAGCATGATCCTGGAACTCATGGTGAACAACTGGCTCCCCAACTGTTGCCTCAAACTTGCACAGGATCGCAGCAGCAAGAAACGACCTGCAGCTAAAAAGTTGGTCAGGCATGGTCAGGCAACAAGGCATCTCCCACGGCGCGGTAGCAAACTAAAAGGGGTAAACTGACCAGGAATTCTTGGAATTGGATGAGTACAATATAGTTCAATTGAGCGAAGCGAAGAGACATTTGCTAGATAAATGAAGGCCAAATTGGCAACGCTGCCTCTTTGCAAAAACGCCCATTCCCGCATTTGGAAGCGTCGACTTTGCCACACTGAGCCTGAAGTTGAATTCGCCAACACATTTGAGCTACAACATTGCAGCAAAGTGCCTGGATGAAGACTTTAATCACAAAGTTGTGACTCCCTTCAAGAAGAAAAAATGCAGAGCATTCTGAAGTCCACTGCCGTCCCATGGGATAAGTGCAAAGCCAGGGTCGATTGAGCTGTGCCTCGAGCTGAATGCCCGGCCTGGGCGCGCTGAGTCGACTTGATGAGACATGAAAATCTGTGGTGACCATTCAGTGTTTCCATTCAGGAGTGGGGCTGAAAATGGGGGACCACAACATCATAGAAAATTGATGGTCAAGCTATTAATCGGAAACCAAAACCCGTTAATCGGAAACTAAAACCTGTTAATCGGAAACCAAAAGAATCGGAAACTAAAACCCGTGAATCGAAAACTAAGAACCTTGAATCGTAAACCAAAACCCCGGAATCGGCAACCACAGCTGAATTGTAAACTTGAGGCCGGGGGTGGATGACGAAAGCTAGCGGGGTAGGAGAAAGAAGGAAGGGAAGAGGTGAGTTGCGGAGGGACTGTCATCATCGTGTCGCGGCATTGTTCGTCCCAACGAGGATGCAATAATGATATATAATATATGATATATAACAATGATATATATGGGGGAGGGGGCAGGGGGGGACCCTTTCGCGGGAAAAATCACGTGATGTCCTTGGGGAGCCCCGGTACTTGCTAAAGCAAGAAGACTCTAGCGAGCTGACGCTAGCTTTTGTGATAATGCCAATAATTGCCAATAAGGATAAAATGTAATTGAATAACGGTGATGATGATGATGATGATGATGATGATGATGGTGGTGGTGGTGGTGGTGCTGGTGCTGGTGGTGCTGGTGGGGGGGGAGGGGGGGAGGCCTTTCGCGTGAAAAATCACGTGATGTCCTCGAGCAGCCCCCGGAATACTTGCTAAAGCAAGAAGACTCCAGCTAGCTGACGCTAGCTTTCGTGACTAAAGCAGGTGAATCGGAAACTAAAACCGGAGAATCGGAAACTAAACCAGCAGAACCAATCAGAATGGGCAACTTGTCTCCTTCAATCGGAAAGAGAAGTTGGAGGTAATATCCTGTTCAAAATAATGGCCAGAGGGGGTGGAGGAGTTGATTTCTTATGAAGATAAGTTGAAGGTAATATCTCATTCAACATAATGGTCAGAGGGAGTGGCGGATTGTATTTTAGTTTCTGATTCGCGCGATTTTTGGTTTCTGATTCGTGGGATTTTGGTTTCTGATTCGCGGATTTTGGTTTCTGATTCGCGGCTTTTAGTTTCTGATTCTTTGTTGCTGATTCGCGGGAAGTTTCTGATTCGAGGTTTGTTCAAAATTGATCATTCTTCATGGGAAAACCAATGGTTTGAAGGTCCTCGCATTTTATGATCTTTTGTGAAACCAATTGAATCCAAAAGAACTGTTCAAATGCTAACTCTCAGATTGGTACAACAGTTTGACAGACAACGGGAAAAAGCTTCTGTACCTCGGTAGCAGCTGGTAATCAGACACATAGACTTGGTCATTCGCGCTAATATGTCAGAGACCCTGCAGACAAACATTGCTGAAGTTCGAAAAATGAGACAAAATTAAGCTGGTTTGAAGATGTTTGAAGCACTCGATTGCACCAAACAAAAGCCGCAAACATGGCGCACAATTTGCGAAGCATTTCGGGTTTCTAGTTTGTCTGCGGTCTGGAGCTTACACGGCCTGGAAGAATCTCACAAACTCCATGGCCTTCTGACAAAAGGTTTACGGTTTACGACGTTTGACTTTGGTGTAAGCAAAATACAAGTACAGTATATTATATATATATTATATATATATGAAAGTGACGGTCAAAACACGTTGCTACATCATGTTGTGTGCATCTTTTGTAGCCAGGGTTTGAGCAATGTCATATTTCTATGTCTTTCTGATCTTGTCAAGAACCACCAAGCCAGTCCCTAAAGCACACATCATTGGTGTTCGTTGTTTCTCACAACAATCAATCCGAAAGAAGATGTGACACTGTACAGATGTGACAAAGCAACTGCCTCCTTGCTGCGAGTTCAACTCTTCACAGTCATTCTTCCGCTCTTGCTCACTTTCTTTTTTGGACCTTGCCAAAACAGAAAGATAGCCAGGGAAACCTTCATGGCATCATGGCAGGATCTGGAAAACCCGAAACACTTACAGGGAATCTAGGATGTTTTCTTGTCCTGCTTGTCCTGTATTTTAAATAGTGGTATGGCGATGTTTGGCGGGCGCTAGCTCAATATTCATCTTCATGTCGTTAGGACATGTTTGTCCTTCAGGTATGACGCTGATATGCGGCTGTCTCTGCGGTGTACATCAAAAAGAAGAAACAAAGACTTGATTTCTATGCGGGTCTTGAGTATCTGGAACTAAGATGAACTAAGTACGGCAGCAATGAAGCTAAGTCTGCCACCGACCATCTGAGTCCACAGGCCCATCCCTGCCTCAAGCTTGCATAGCATTCTAGGGGTCTACATGATGGTCTACATGGTCTCAAATTGTTGAAGGTGTGCTCTCGAATGTCTCGTCAATTTGTCTCGACAAAATACCGTCTTTCAAGGTACTCTCAGTTCGGTGCCCATCATGTCAGCACATAGTCTAGGCCGTTTCACTTCCAGCTGCGCTTTAGCAGTTCTTTGCTGCTTCTGTTTTGACTTCTGTACAACCTGTTCTCTATGTTTTGCTCCAGCAACAGCATCTTCGAATGTCTCGTTGACACCCTCAGACGTCGTCCCTCCAGCTGCGAAGACCTTTCGAGGCACAGCTATCTGTCAAATTTCAGGTGACACAAAATTTCAGGTGTTCAAATGTCTCAGACCACAGGACAGAAAATCACACTTTGGGCTGCCTTAGTCAACGCATCTCCAGCTGCAGACGGTCGCAAATGTCCGACAGCAGCTACAAGGTCCACTTGAGTCATGGCGCAAGTCACAATTCTTGCTTGCAACTCAGCGTGGGTCTGGCCACAAGCAGGAGAGTAAGTAGTTTGGCAACACCGTCCAACTTGGACGTATACATGCAACTTAGTGAAATCACCATAAATCATCCTCAACCAAGCGATGTGTTACATTGGTGATGTTGCTACACTTGTGCATGCCAACAACAACTCTTTCTACTTTCTTGTGCACTTTGGCACTCTAATGATCCATCATTCCTCAATCATTCTCCAGCTTTAAGCAAAGCCAACCCAGCCCGTGGCCTGTTGATACAGTCGGACACTACTAGATGACTTCAAGAGTGCCGTCAAGCCAAAGTTTCTCTTATTATGCTGCAGACTTTCAAAGACGTACTTTCTTGGCAGGCTTCCGCACGTCCTTTTCAGCCCGAAGCTTTGGCAACCGTGGATGGGATTTCTACATGCTACTCTGACGTCGCAAAAGCAGAAACCACTGTCCGGAAACAACGGCTTTCACTTGACAAGTGGCACTTGAAAATGCAACGCAACCCTGCTGGATCCATGTTCATTTTCTAGACTTCCGAATCTTGAAGACCACAATCAGCATCCACTCTTACTGAAACAGTGTAAATGAAACCAAACCTTAGTGAAGTTTAATCAGCAGTGATATGCTGGGAAGCAGAGTTTTGCTTGAACCAAATAGACAGTTGCTGCTCCAGGCAAAACAATATTTTCTGCCGTCGTTCATGCGTTGGCTGGTCACAAAGATCTTGCGAGACAACAATTTCTTCTAAGTCAATGTTCTTCCGTGCCAAATCTTCAAACAATTGCAATTGTCTTAGCCCCGCATGGGAAGTCTCATTTCCTTTCTCAAGACACAAACATACCACAAAGATTTCCGCCGCAATATCCTCCGTGAAGCTTGCGCCAGCGGAACATGGTTCATGCTTGCATCGCCACAACAGAATATGTTTTACGGTGTCTTCGCAACTCCTCCCGTCCCAAAGTTCAGTAACAGAAGCTGTGCCACGTCCCTGCCACAAGTGTTCAGAGAGCCACGCGCTCGTCCGAAGACTGGCAGCTGGGCAAACTCCAGAAGCCACTCGGTCGGTGATGTCGGTGCACCGCAAGTGGATCCAAACATCAGAAAGGACGAAAAGAACACGCCGTGCACGCCATATGGATCTGGGCCATCTGGGCATGTAAATCACAGCCCCAAATGCACCCCTGCAATGGCCCCTGCAATCTTCCTGTCGTCACCATGTCCACAGCTTCAGGAGCACCGAGGTTTGCTCCATGGGCAATCCACCGCATTGCATTCTTTAAGCCTTGCAATGCTCCGTGATGAGGGCACCCCCAGAAGCGCCATGTTCGAATCCATGATAACCTGGTGTGCCTCTGAAAATCGTGCCAAATAGAAAATCCAAATAGAACAGGAAGGTATTCTGTTTGGTTTGGTCTCTCCCAAGATTCCAATTCGTCTGCACAGGGAAACAAAGTGCTTCATATTTCTTTGGCCAGAAACTCTTGCCGCAACCTCAACCAACGATGTATAGAAAGAATCTCACTGGTCAGCAAAATGGCCTGCAAACCGCATGGCATGGATACTGAAATGGATCGATCGGTATCAGGCCTTGATGTTCCTTCCGTTTCCGGTACGCATCCACCATGTGAAATGAATAGTCTCGCATCCTGTCATAGATCTGGGTATAGCCTGTCTCAAATTCATTGCTCACGCCAGGCGAAATCGTCTAAATGCAATCTCCATAGTCCAAACTGAAAAATGTTCCCATCAACTTCCAAACGTCTGGATGCGCCAGTGAAGGAGACGAAAGACAAGGATGTTTTGAGCAAGATGGGTGTCGAACTCTCTTCTGAAAAGTTCTGAAGAGCAATACGCTCAGCAGAAACTCATGCAAATTCAAGTGCTCCTCGCACCATAAAGTCTTTGTCAAAAGTCAAAAGCATCAAGGCGAATTTCACGCTCTTAGATCTGTTGGATCCTTCGGCGGTTCAAGCCCACGGAAAATCTGTCATGGCGCCGTCAGCTGCTTTCAGTGGACCTGACACCGACACACATCTAAATCATCCAAATGTTTCAAGGCTGTCTTGAGATAGGCTTCACATCCTTGTGAATAATCTGCAAATATCTGCAAGTCATGCTATTCACGCTATGAACAGCTTGTTCCCCTTCTGCCTCTTGCGCATCTGGACAACCTGGCAGATGGCGGTAACATGATGATGGACGACCATGGACGATGACTATGAGCTGAAGCCTGGACCCAAGGCCCCAAGGCCTTTGTAAGGCTCTGCTGAGGTTCAGCACGTCGTTCAAAGATCACCTCACTGCTGAAATCTCCTGAAATGATGTGCTTCTGTGCAAACCCATGGGTTCCACAAGACTTGTGGCTTTGGAAGCCGTTGAAGTTGCAAATGGATTTTGACCCCCGACTGAAGAAGTATGGTGTCCCTCCTAGAGATGGCAGGTTCGATGTATAGTAAGTATATACAACCAACAGCATCTTGCTATTCTTCAGCATTGAGGGTCAAACAGAATAGAATCCATGGGACAGGTAGGTCCAGCACCGCACAGTCGCAGTGGTTCCAAAAAGTTTTCGTGTTTGCTTCCCGCTTATTTCCTCTGCCTTACTCTGAATGGTAGTTGCATGCCCTATTTCCCTTCTGTTTCTTGGCGTCCAATAGAGAGCCGAGAAGCAGAAGCCTCGAAGTGTGGAGCTGCCTCACTTCGGTTAATCATTTTGTCGCATGGTCTCTATAATTGTTCCTTTTCTCCTAAAATCAATGAAACTTAGGCCTTGACTGCATAAATGAAGTCCTCGACATTTGGCTCGTCCTCCTTGCGTTTTGAGCCATCAGGTTGCTGAAAAAAGTGACAGCAATGGCCTCCACTTCCAATGGCTCCTCTTCCCGGTCAGCCAAAGCCAACAGGATATTTGTCGTCGAGCTGCCTTGGCTGAAACATGATCAAACAGTGACACTGGTTTAAATCCAAGATGTGCTGCAACAGTTTGGAGGAACAATTTAGTCAGAACTGGCAAGAATAATTTGGAATCCTTTGAAACACCAGGGATATTCAAAGGTAAGGCTCTGGCTTTGGGCTAGCAACGTCTGCAGGAGTGGCTCAAACAGATCTGGATCATAGCCAACGTCTGAGCCAACAATCAAACTCCTGCAAGAAGACGTGATGCTAACAAGTCAATTCTGTGCTTCACCCAAGTGTAGGACAAAGCACAGCACAGCAGCATGCATTAGCAACGAAATTGCACGCCATCACAGAAGTCTATCACTCCAAAGCAAGCGGCCAGCCACTACCAGTCCAGCTTCCCTTCCATGGTTGCAAACCAGCCCTGCAGGACACGAAATCATCTAGAAAAGTTCAAAATAGCGACATCTTCCATCGCAGAAACCACACCTCTGCTCCTCCTTTGTCCAGTCCAGCTCTTTGACATGCACCTTGTCGCAACGGGGTTGTTTGATATAATATTGAAGCACTGATTTTCTCCTCTGTATTGTGGAGCCTCTCCAGCATCATTGGCCGTCGCATTTCTCTGCAAAAGGGGTATCCTCAGCTTGATTTCGATTCGTGCAACAAGATGAGTTCCAGTGGCAAATCCTTTCTTCTGAAATACATTTTCATGAGTTTCCGACTGTCTGGCCACGTCTGTCAGTACAACCAACCTGGCAACTAGAGGTGCCAAGGAGCAACACAAGAGAAACGCCATGCATCCAACACCCTATAGCCTATAACATCTTATCAGGAAAGTGCAGCTGCAGCAAATCATGGCCAAGTAACTTCGCACCAAAATGCGCTGCTGTTAGACCAACAACCTCGGCCGCGCTTTTCACTGGAGCTGTTTCCCCCCCAAACAGCAGGGAAGACGCGAAGATTCTGAGGATGTGACCCCAGTGCCAGCGCCCACTTCCAAACAGGTGGCTCCCCTAGAGAAATCAAATCGCATGCAGGCAGGTGAAATCATGACCTGTGCCGGGCATGCACGCACGTTTCAAGAAGCCCGGCAGCTGTTGCTACTGCCTGCAAAGGTGCTCATTGTCCGCTAAATAGTCTGAGAGCACCTGGATGCAGTTGAATCAAGAAGAAGTGTAGAGCCGTCTCAAAGAAAGTAAAAGGCATCAACGCAAGCACTCCGTGACTGGAGATTTAGAGACAAAACGGTTAGCAAAAGTCAAGCCTCCCCTGCAGCCCACATTGAAGTTCCTGTTCCTCTTGCCTGCTGGCACCAAAGTGTTCAGAGGCAACTGCATAAACTGAAACTTCATCTGCAGCCAAGGTGCCAAAACACCACGAGGATCTGATACGATCGTCAGCCTGTCCCGCCATGAGTACCTGCGCACAACACATTCATTGATGGTGGACAAGTCTCAAAAAGGGGCTGTGCAAGCAGAAGAATACCAAAGGTACTTATAATCCAAGTGTCATACAGTACCAAAGAAGGTGACTTGAAAAGTACAAGGTTCACGTGTGTTCACATGGGTTCATCAGGATCGTATAAGAATGGCGCACTGTAGGAGGCCGTCAATCCACTTGTCTTCACAGCGTTGTTTCTTCACCTGGCTGGTGCTCACCAGTGCAACTCACCAGCTTCGGTGCTGTGCCCTGCTTTTCCAAGACCCAGGCTGCAGCACCTTCAAGCTGGACCTGGTGACAGATGTAACGAAGCTGCAACCATACCCAGAGGTCAAGTTGAACAACTTTAAGTCGAGGTGTTTCAACAAACTGAAATAGTATCTCGTAGATTATAGTAGATTGTCCTAATTTATGCATAAATCGAAGCGGAATAGGCACGATTCTAATCCAAGATCTGTGTAGTGATAACATGCTCACCTCTGGAGAGTTCGGTGCAGCCATGGCTGCTATCCGGGAGCTCAAGTAAACCCAGCTGTGCAGTGTCTTGACAGATCGCTCTTGTTCTGCTACTGTGTTTGCAGGGTAGAAACTGCCACATGACTTTCACTTAGACTTGAACCCTGCAATGACATTCAAGTTGTGCAGGAGGAGTGGTCACACGAAAAATGAACAACCTCAAAGGGGGAGCACCGAGTACAGTTGCGACACCGCTGAAGAACCTGACAGAGCAAGTTTTTCAGTTGAACGACAAATTTCGACAATTAAATAATTGTCTATACAAAAAAAAACAACAAACACAACAACAACAGTATTCACAAGTAGGCCCAAGACCACTTTCCTTGAAATACCATCTGTGATGGAGACCTGCCGAGCAACGAAGTCTCACTTGTAGGACATACACAGTGCTTTAAGCAACAGCCAACAGCCTCTGCCTTTAAGCATGCTGCACAACGCATGCTCCTTGCAGCATTTAGCAGATAACTCCATATCGTGAAGTCCACAACAGTTGAGTCAAATTTGCCTCTGACAAAAAAGTTCCTTGAAAAATATCCTGCAGAAGTTCCCTTTAAAAAAAAATAAAACATCCGCCTGGGAAGTTCCCAGAAATTGAGCAAGCTTTGCAATAGAACAGTAGTAATTAACGGTTCCAGCGCTCCAGCGTTCCAGTGAGCCTCGCAACCCTGGAACCTGGAAACTATGTAGCCTTGAAACTACTTGAAACCCTTCAACCTTGGAAGCTCCAAACCTTTGAAATCAGTAGAACTTTACAACTTTGGAATCTTGGAAGCCTGCAATGCTTACAACCGTAGAAATCTGGAACCTTAGAATCCTGCAGTACCTTTGCCTGAACCTTGGAACCGTGAAAAGTGAAAGTCTTGGAATCACCACACAGGTGTTTGGACCCCTCAGAACCTTCTGGAATGGTAACCGGGGCACCCCAGGCACTACATTATTGGCTGAGATCCCAAGCATATTCTGTTGGGGAATAAGAGAACAGGGGTTCCAAGGCCCAGACTGATTTGGAACCATTGGTACTCCACAGCTGCAACACAATGCAGTGGTCGCACCATGGGTCGACTGGCAGTGCACAAAATCAAACTCTGAAAGTGTCTGAGAGATAAAGGATCTATATAAGTGTTTCTTCTCTTTGTGCATTTTTCCAATCTCCTCAGCCTTTAATGAACGACTTCTTTTGTCCATGGATATCGGTACAAATCTCAAAGGAACAGCTGCTAAAACGGCCAGAAAGAACTGCATCAAGGCCTCCATGGAGATATCATGGTTCCGCTTCATGCCCATCGGCGTGTTGTGTTGCAACTGTCAATGTTATCAGTCCCTAGTGGACAGCAAGGACTGTTTGGCTGCATGTTCTCGCAAGACAGGCATGCAAACTGTGGTGACTGAAGTCTGGATTGACTTGAAGTTGCAAAATTTAGCCTTTGGGGTCTTACAGTTCCATGTGGACGAACTCGTTTTGAGTACAGTCAAGTAATTTTTGAGCCTAATAACACGAGCATGGCATGTCCACTACATGTCCCCACATGGTGAACAGCTGGATCTGCACAAGGACTCCGCGAGATAGGTGTCCACAAGTTGCCGGAAGCTTCTTTTTGGGTGTCTTTTAGCCGTTTCAAGCCTTTATTAAGCTTGCAGCAAGTACATTTTCCATTGTTCATTCTACTCATTCTACTCATCATCACCTCCCCAATCACCCAAATCGAAATCTCCGAAATCTCCAAACATACCCTCACCATCGTCTCCATCGCCAGCATCTGCAGGTGCTTCTGATGTGGCTGCAGAAGTTGCAAGAAGCCCTGCAATTCCTCACCAACACTTGGGGCCAACTTCAAGCAGCGCAGCAGGCAAATCGAAAGTATATGTATAATATGCTGTGTATATAATATTTTGTTTGGCACACTGGGGGTGTCTCTCACCGCGGCAGCTGCGTCCTTGAATTCGGGAAGCTCCTGAACAGTGATGGTTCGTCACTCAGCCCTTGACACAGTCCGGACCTATTGCCATGCCGAAATTTGTACAGACCATGGCTTCGATCCTTGTCTTTACATGTGTCGGGAGAGAACGCCGACTGTCAGGCATCTGTTCAGATTGCAAAAAAGCGGCGAAGCTATTCGCCATAGCCCGGCATAAGGCCGGAGGGTACTCTTTGAGTACTGCTGCGCGGTAGTGACCGTCTTGGTCTAATCCAATGGAGCGCGCTTTCGGGAGCTCCTTGCTGACTGCGTTCGCCCTGATGTGTTGCGGCAACGAGGGAAGGTTGAGCGTCAGAAGGGTGGTGCTCTTTGCGCTGTCTGCTCCAAGTAGGCCTTGAGCGAAAGTCACTTTCGCAAAACCTGGCAGTGCCAGCAGGAGCTCGATCAACGGCAGTTTCCAAATGCTTGGGCACGCCGGATCAGAGCGTTCCGCCGCGTGTTCTAAGATGCCAGCCCCATCAACTTCATCCAGCAAAATCATGCAAATGATGCTAAATGCCAGGAGTTCATCGGCTGAGCGAAGTGGTCGTGGGCCAGTCCTTCCCTGCTTCTTCATGGAGATATGAGATATCGACCTCGAGCTGCCGACCATGTGCAGCAAGGTGGTCCTCCGAGCATTCCGATCACATAGCCACTGCGTATGGCGTGGGTCCAGAAGTCGTAGGATTCTTCTCGGCCAATATCACCCCATTGTGAATCGATGACCAAGTCTAATGACACGACCAACACAAAATCCAGGCCCTTGTGTGCAGTAACTGCATCCAGGTACCACTGGAAATCTCCTTGGCGCCTTCTGCCTGAATATGCGTGCACGATGACTCGCTCCTGAAATCGTACTCGAGGGGCTCGTGCTCCAGGAAGACGTGGAGGATCATGCACTCGTAGTTCCTGACACCAGGCCTCGTAGTGCGTCAGGTCGAGGTCGTGGTCCGACGTGTCTGCGTACTTGTCCTCGCTGAGGAAGTTCCAAGACCGGAAATCCGCAAGGCGGTACAGCAGCTGCCGCCAGTCCTCAAAGTCGATGTGCGCCAAGCGTGCATCCTCCTCTGTGAGCGTGTCCGCAATGTGGTGCAAAGTCCGCTTGGTCATCGTCCATCCGACGGCATGCTCCATAATGCATTGTCGTAGCGCCTCATTGAGATCTCGGTCTGGATGATCTTGATGATCAAAGCATCTCGATACCTGGTCTTCAAAGAGGTCGATGTTGTAAGGATCGTCATCTCTGGGTTGATGACGTGCATCATGTGGGCCCTGTGCCTATAGAATCGGGGCCAAACCGTCGTGTTGTTGATGAAGTCTTTCATTGACAGCAGATCTTTGCCAGGTGCTGGTGTGGCCATAGGTCTCTGGCCCTGCAGAATCTGTCTGCACTGTGTTGTGCAGCGGAGATGCTGCTGCAGCTTGGCAAAGGTGTGCAGTTTCCTGAGGCAAGCCGGGCATGCTGTGCCGTCATATAGACGGCGGATGGGCGCGACAATTCCATGCGCTCTGCAAAGATGTGCTCCATTCTCCGCCGTGACTGCGACAGCGCTTGCGGCAGCACATGCATCCAAAAACGGCTGGTTCTTGATCTGGAGCGCGTTGATATACTTGTGGGCGATAGGCCAGGCTGCCTTTGCCTTCCAAGTGTCGAAGAGCATCTTGATGAAGTGGAAGCAAAAGAACCCGATCCTCACAATGTAGTGTCTCCAACTTAACAGCGCGCTGGAGAAGCCGCTTCCAGTATGTGCGGTGGTAGCGGAGCACCTCTTCCCATGCACTGAAGTTGCCTGCGGGATCAGGGAGCGTGGTCGTGGACCGGATCAACCGCCAGAGCCACTGTAGGTCGTCTCGCACAAGGGCCAGCCATCGGGTATCTGCTCGCAGCACTGCCCAAGGGGTAACTGATGCGCAATTGTAGAGGAGTGCCAAGCAGCGTAGTCTTGATACCCGCAACACTGTCGTGGGTGAGGGCATACTCAATGTTGTCAGGAGCTCATCATCTGTGAAAGTAGTGCTTGTTGGCCTTGTCCATCAGCGTCCAGGACTCTGTGCCATACACCACAAGGAATCTGAGGATTTTGAAAGAGTGCCTTTCGATGTTGTGTGAATGTGGTATGGCCCTCCTGTGCTACCCTTCTCCTCATCTCTGCTCTAGTTTCTCCGCTGTGATGTACAAGTCCACCAAGATGCTGATAGTGTCCAACCACAGCAATTTCTCTGTTGCCGTTTTCCGTGAGGACGTGCATTCTCCCAGAAGCGTGAGGTCCAAAGTATTTGTATCGGAGAGCTCTGGTGCCTGTCCGCGGAAAGCAAAGAGGATTTCCCTCTTGCCCTTCTGCAAGTTGGGAGTAACGCCGCGTCGATGGCATGCATCTATATAGCAGAATGCCGCATGCCACACCCGCCTTTGATTCAATGGCATGGGCTGTCGGCGCAGATAGTGTGATACAAAGATCATCCATCCATGTCGGCCCTAGATATGGTATCTGAAATGTCTCTGTCTCCTGTGGGAAGAGACTGTGGGTGGCAGAGCCCTCAAAGCGCTCCACGATACCAGCTGTCTGCATCTGCTCTTCGACCGTCTTGAGGATGCGCGCAAACATATACCCGAACACGACGTCTGCGAAAGGGTCGCCTGGGCGGGTGCCCACTTCAGTTCGGACATAGTCTGACTCCAAAAGTGCGTGTCCGTGTGGAGTGCACGAAGAGCAGTCTGTAGATGTTGTGGCAACCCTGCCAATTCTGTCGCAGAGGGTGCTTGAAGGAGCTCATGTAGGTCATGTAGGACATCCGCATCAAGGCGAAGTCTTTGGGCAATCTGGCCAAGGACGGCGTCCTGAGTGCATCCTCCGACAGCAAGTGGTCTAATGACTCGGTAGAAAGCTTCTTGAAGATCCAAGAAGATGAGGGCTGAGGACGCCTTCTGTTGTTTCGCACATCGCAGAGAGGCCCGTACCTGATGTACTCCCAGTCCTACCGGTACCTTTTTGCGCCCTCCTATCTGGCTTCTTTGGAGGAATTGTTCGTAGATACTGGATTGTTGCTCTCGGATAGCTCTGTGGATGGTTTTGCCCACATGTGAGCTGATCAGGAGGGAACGGTATGAACTGCAGTCATGTTGAGCTCCCTTCCGTTTCCAGGCTGAGACTAAGAGTCCGCCTTTGTGAAGCAATGCTTCTTGGCCATGTGCCACCAGCTTGAGCATCTGTGTGAAAGTGAGCCTGGCTAGGGTGGCCGGTTGTCCATGACAAAGTTCCGGAGGGATGTTGTCAGCCCCAATGGCTTTGCCTGCCTTCACTCTTCTGAAAACCCTTTCCAATTCAACCAGAGTAGGGACGTCCTCTGGTTGTAGGCAAAGTTGATCCGGTATGAAGGCTCGGAGATTCTGTTGCCACAACTGTTGCAGTTGTGTGGCTTCCATTCTGGATCCCCCTTCCATAGCGCCGAAGAAGCTGATCCAACGGTCGATCAAGGCTTGTGGGGTGCTGCAAGGTCGATCTTCTTCATCATGCACAATGGGTAGAGGTGTTTCCCTTTTGTGTCGTAGGTTAGTGGGCCCTACGATAGGTTTCAGCTTCTGGAGGATGACACTGGCATGGCAGTCCTCTTGTAGGGGATGTGATGGCCTCCTTCAGCGCCTGCCCACGTGCTCGTCGGAGATCATGTCGCAGAGCGCAGTTGGCCAGTTGATACTGGACACCAGTCTTGACTTGTGCACAAAGTAAAGAGATTCCAAAAGCTTCCCCTGGTACTTCAGCTTGAGGTGTCTTCCATGATGCAAAGGTTCTTGCCAAGAGTTCCCTTGCTTGAAGACCACGAAGGTGGTGGAGTCGTCTTCCTGCCTGGAGCTTTCGGGTACGAACATGCCAAATTTCTTCCATAATAAAATGTTTCTTGGGTCCAGCACGTCTGCGTGGACAGTGTTTGCTGGTGACTTGTTGGAGATGAGCATTGCAATGATCAACCTGTGTCGCAATGTCAGTGGTCCAATCTGGTGGCACGTAGTCAAGCAGCTGTGACCGCAGTTGAGTATGAAGGGACATCATGTCGGTCATAGTTGCACGTGGTGTCTGAGCCCTTGATTCGTCTTCGAGAGAACTGCGTCCAGTGTACTTCAAGTCCCACAGCAGTGTGGTCGCCAATGTTTCCAAGGTCAAGTTCTGGAATGGTTCGAGAAATGGTGCACGATGAAAGCCATGCCCTAGGAATGGCTACATAATCAATGCGATGTCCATGGTTGGTGGCTGGGCAGATCCAAGCTTCTTGATCTCCTTGGTGACAGTCACTGGTTGCTGGCAAACATAGTCGTTGAGCTACGAGGAGATC